CAGAGTCTTACTTTGTAGTCCTGTAGACCAGGCTGCTTTTGAACTCACAATCCTCCTGCCTCAGTTTCTCCAGTACTGGGATTGCAGGTATATATCATCACACCCGGTTTTATGCAATGCTGAGGATTGAACCAAGAGTTTGTGCATGCTAGGCAAAGACTTTACTGACTAAACCTCATGCCCCAATGCCCCACCACTGTGAAATTTCTTACTGGTTGAGTAAAGGAGACACTAGTATATTAGAAGCTTAAAATGTGGGGTTCTCTACTGAGTCCCTGTAGCAGGCTTCTCAGCTTTCACAGGCTTCCTCAAGATGGCCAGCCTATCTCTCAGTGATATACACACATGCTGCCCCAGCTGATGTCTGCAGGATGACTAGCGAGGTTGGGGAATATGCGCTGGGGTCATGGAGACATTTCTTGCCTTGAAGCCCTTGGCTCATTAGCTCCGTGTTCTAACCAACCAAACCTGCCAGCTCTAGACTGGATGATGCACACAGCAGTTTCTGGCATCTGACAGACAGTCTGTGAATCAGAACTCTCATTCTCCTGCATGTCTGCACAGCAACCAGCCCTCATAGGATGTGCAATCCTACGCTGTCTCAGGGCTCTGTGAACCCTGATTCACTGGGGATCTGATAGTGCACAGTCTGCCTGCCTCCTCCGCAGTCTTCCCTATCGTGTTCTGATGCTCAGGACTCAGGAGGCCTGGGTCCGGGCCAGGCTGGAGATTTCTGTAAACTCCCCATGTGACTCTGAGCTGGTTACCTTCTCTTGGTTTCCCCTCCTCTATTGATTGGAATTTGATGTCTTGTACTCTGCCTGGGTTACTAAAGAGAAGTACAGATCCAACCAGAGAACAATGCCTCAGGGGTCTGAAAGTGAAAGGGTCATTGTGTGGCTCTTCAAAGAAGAAGACGGTTGCTCAACATCTGTTCTTCCCTTCTCCAGCTGCGCTGGCAGCAGAATGCACTGTTTTTTTTTTCTTTGTGTGTGTGTGGGGGGGGGGGGGTTTGACTGATGCTTTAGTTCCCTGATTCCTGGGGGTGCCCAGCCTGACACCAGGTCAGTAGCAAAAGGAACAAGAGGAAGTGACTTCGAGGTCAGGCATGAGGACACGTGTGGACTTGGGCTCTGAGACTCAGCCTCCTGATCTCTTCCTTCTCACCTTTCAAACATTCCATGTGCTTAGTGTCTCTTTGTTCTTGTCCATCTGATATTAGAGCCCAGGCCCTCAAGGGCAGCTGAATCAGGACTTCACAGCTGTAGTCATCTGGACTCCTGTGCCCACATCAGGTATGATACTGAATTTCTACACTGTTACGATTTCCCAATCATCATATGTACAGGAGTTCTGGGAAAGTGGGACAATGGATCTATAAATTGCACAGACATAAAGACGGTAATGCCATGTGGCATTTTGCGTTGCAGCATAGTTGCAGTGGGACAGCAACAACCAGGCACACAATAGGAATGGGTGAATCTTGTCCACATGTTGTTGAGCTAAAGCTAGAGCAAATAAATAAATAAAACCAACAACAACAACAACAAAAAAAACCCCTCAAAAACAGGATTTAGCATTGGCAGTCTTTCTATAAAGCTCAAAATGACAAAATTAAAATATAGTGTTAGAAGTCAGGGTAGTGCCAGGTTCTTCTTGGGGGTGGACAGAAACAGGAGGGGCATGAGGAAGGCTTAAGGGTTTGGTTCTTTACCATTTCTTGGTCTGGGTGCTGTTAGTTTGAAGGTCAAAGCTGTGTATGTTTTAAATAGTGGGATTTTGATCTCCAAGTTGTATTTTAATGAAAGCATGAAGACAACACTGATTTTGTATTTTTTCTCTGTAGATTTGACCCGCTTTTTGCAGTCAGTACGAGCTTGTAGGTCCCAAAGCGTTTCCCAAAGCCCTAGTCTAGCACATCTCGTGTAGGTCATGGAGATCCCCAGTCCGTCCTGAGTGCTGCTCAGCGCCTTTCGCCTGTCCTTTACCAAACACCGTGATATTCTAGGATGCTTTAATGGAGGCCTTCTTAGCCATCATTCCTCTGGGATGGGAAGAGTTCCCTGCATGGATTTCCTTAGCATCTCCCCTTCTCAACCCAGGCATCCCTGGTTCTTACAGGTGATGATGACCCTCAGCCCATACCATGCCTGGGGTCCTCCATATCCTTTGTGCTACGACTCTCCAGAAGCTGACATGGAACCTATGCAGCGTAGACATTCTGGAAACATGGACCCCTAAGTATCCCCCCTTGTAGTTTTCTTCCATACAGACCTCTGCCTGGATGGATGGGGTTGTGCTCAGAATGACTTTCCCACTTGTAACCAGGGTAGCATCAATTGGATTTTTTTCCCTCCTAAAACCCCACCTATCTGCAAATTAGGACTGCAATCCCAACATCCTGGTTCTCACACAGGTTACAGGGGAGCAGGTATCTATGAATGCCCTTGGGTGACATTTTCATAGCTTGCTTGATATGTAGTCAATAAGAGGAGGCATTGGAGATAAGGCCCTTCATCCCTTAATAGTCACCCAAATAATACAAAGCTTGACACATGTTCAAAGAAACACTATCAATTTATTGATTTTCTATATTTCAACAAAGCAAATACATGGTGTATCATACAAGGAAACTGGGCCAGGCAAACACAAGATTCTCATATAAGATAGAGCAAGGAGAGTAAGGACTGGAGGGAGACTCCCAGACCCTGCAAGCCCAAGTCCCAGTCAGGGCTGAGTAGACACACACAGGCCATCCTTGGCCTCTTGGGTCCTTGGGAGAGGCGTGGGATCTGGGTGGCTGGTCCATCTCCCACCGGGCAGGCTGCTGGTGGCCAACAGTTGAATCTCTCACCAGAGATCCAAAAGTCAAGGAAGACTTTCTCTTTGATCCTCAATTGTAACTTGTTTTAGGCATGGGAATAGGAGGTCAAGTTGATATAAAACACTAAGATAGGTCTGGGATACATAAAGTCTACCAGCCCCTATTCCCTGCTTCTTCTAGGAATATAACCATAAGTCCCCTTAATTTTACCCTTCCTGAGTGACAGGCATGAGTTAGGCCCAGTTCACCTGACCAGCTTTAGATCATGGAGGAAGTTGCCATTATCAGGCCTGGCCCCTGGGTGTCTGGGCACCCGCTTCATCCCCAAAGCAAAGGGTGGGCCTCCCAAGTCTTCCTCCTAGGGAAAGGAAAGCTAAGGCCCTGGGCTACAGGAAGTGAGGATGTTGCTCGGAGTCTGTAACAGTTCCTCCTGCTGACTTGGATGTTCTGCACGCTTCTCTCCAGCTTACTTAGAAAGGGGACGGTCCCTAAAGCCCAGGACTGGGCCTGGGGCCTGGAAGGTTTCATATACCATTGCTCTCTAAGTGCTCCCGTAGAACACTTCCCGGCATGGAGCAGTGTGCTGACGGCATGCTTTAGGAATTGAATTGTTTTGGATCCCAATGACTGGCAAGGGAGATTCAAGGACAGTGTCGTGGGACAGCATCCCCACATTGGTATTGGAGGAGAGGCGAGGCAGGAGGCAGATTCCAACACAAGTCAAACTGGGAAGGGTACGGCAGACTCAGGGTGCCAGAGCACACTGGGTGAGATAGTTTAGGACGCCTCTCAGGGACAACGTCCTCGCCTATCTGACCTCTGTCTTTAATGGACAGATCTTTTACTAGGCCATCCTGAGTCACAAGGGATTTTTACAGTCTTACTGTTGGGCTGAGAAAAGGGGTGGGCCAAGGCACACTCTATGTCCTCCCTGAGAGAAGTGTGACCCTGATCATTCTTGACTACCCAGTGTTAACCACACCAACTGAGAGGTGCTAGCCTAGACATGAGAGGCCCTGGGGCTCAGCTCTGTCCCATCCCGCCATCTGTCCTAGGGACCTTGACACAGACAAACCAACTTACAGTGTTCTCAGGAGCTCTTTTGCTACTGCAGTGCAAAGTCTGGGGTCCTGGGGCTGACTGCCTTCACCCCGACGGGCCTCTTTGTTTCACAGGGCCAGTGTGCAGACAGGACGACTAAGGTTTAGGGAGAAAGGACGGCTGATGGCTGGGATGTGAGCTGACTGATGCAAAATAGGACATTGCCTTCTCCTGGTCCATCCGAGCACATCCCCTCCCTTCAGCCTCTGGGACTCCCAAGCACTCTCTCACCTGACCCTCAGCAGACTGGGTCTGAGGCACATGGCAGATAATTTCCCGTTCTCCTCCCTTGCTCTGTGAGAAGCCTGAGTGGGCAGGTACCTGCTCCTCACCTGCTCCGGCCCATCCCTTGGGGAGATGGGAACAAGCAGCCATTCCAGAGTTCTTTGACTTTGGGCACTTTTCTTGCTTTCTTTCTCCCAAAACAGCTGCTTGTAGTTTTTCTGAAATCGGGGGCTCTGCTGGCTAAAGCTTCATGTGGGTGCAGAACCCCAAAGAATGGTAAGCCTGTCTCTTTGCTCCTAGTCACTAGCTAAGCACGTGACACTATCCTGCATCTTTTGGAGCTCCCTTCTGCCTCTTAAGAGGGAACATTAGCCTTGGCTACTGTCCCTTCTTCTGCCATCTGGGCAGTGGCAGAGAAAGGCTACTGAACTCTCTGTGGCTTGACTGGCAAGGGCCCCTGTCTGGACACACTGTATTTCCAGCTAGCCAAAACCACACATGGCTCCTGTCTAGGGGGGAGACATGGAGAGTCCTCTGTGCTGTCTGTGAACTGCAAAGAATCAGCGGACCTAGCCTGTTGCAGTTGTTGGTTATGTTGTTAGGCAATCACACGCACACACATACACATGCACACACACACATGCACGTACATACTTACATTATACACATTATATATATATACTGTTTCTCAGAGAAGAAAGTATTGACATCAGATATAAGCCCCTTTAACTCAAGAAAGTCCCCCCACCCAACCTCCCAAACCCTCTTGCCTCCCAGTTCCCCTAAGGAAAAAAAAAGAATCAGAAATTATTTTCATCATCCACAGTTTTCAGTTTGAACTTGGTTGCATCTGAACGTCTCCAAATACTGCACCGGATGAAGCAGGTAACCCATCCTTAAGGCCTGAGGTCTTCTGAGCTGGGTTGTGTCTTCCTAGAAAGAGAAAATATCAAGTTATGGTATACTGAAAGGTGGGCCTTGGTAGTGTATGCCTGCAGTACTAAGTTTTTGGTTAAGACAGCAGGATCACATGTTTAAGGTCAGTCTTGGCTACAGAGCAAGTCCAAGGCTAGCCTGGGAGAGTTAGGAAGACTCTATCTCAAGATAAAATATGTAAAATATAAAACATAAGAGTTGAGGTTAGAAGCCAGTGGTAGAGTATTTGCCTGGAATATGTGAGGCCCTAGATTAAATCCCCCAAAACCATGACGTGCAAGGTTACACAATGTGCAGGGTTTCATGTGGTGAGACATTGCCACACAAGATTGTCGGACCCATGTAATACACAGCTTCTCCTTCACATCTTCTCAAAGGTGTCTGCTTCAATGCTTAGCTGTGGCTCTTGATTTATCTGTATGAGAATCCCTTCAGATACCCATCTAAAATTACATTTCTGCACCCCACTTAAGGGCTACTTACAGGCTATCAAGTCAGAATTGACAAGATGGAAGGCCAGAATGTGAGTAGCAAGCATTCCAGTTGATTCCAGAGAATATTCAGCTTGCAAAGCCTTGACAGAGTATTGGATTTGAGTGTCTGGTCTCTAGAACCATCAACTGGAAACAAAGCTTGTTCACTCCAAGTGTGTGCAGAATGAGAATGGGCTTTAAGAAGGATGGAGGGGCTTGAGGGATAGCACAGTGCTCTTTCACAAGCCTAGGGTTTGATTCCCAGCACCCCTGTGGTTCACAGCTGTTCCTAACTCCAGTTCCAGAGGATGTATACCTTGGATACCTGGCACACATATGGTGCACAGACATACATGTAGGCAAGATACTCATACACAAAAAAAATAGAAATTTTTTTTTAAAAGGATGGAAAGTAAGTTATAGCTGACCTAACCCAAAATGACACTGTATGACTCCATTATTACATAACCCACCTGTGAGTGGCTCCACCTGGTCTGTGCACTGGGTGACCAACACCGTTATACTCAGTAGTCCCACACAGATCTCTGGCCCTACCAGTGTTAATAAAACATTACATGTCCCTAATGTGATTGGGCGGTCTGATTCTCACCTGCAAGGTGAACTTGCTTGGACAGTCTCTTCTTAGAACCGGGAGGTGAAGTTTCTGAGGCTGTTGGCCCCAGCTATGGTTCCCAACGTGTTCCTATCGAAACCTTGCTGCAAGAGGAGAAACAAACACATGATCCATCATGGGACAACAGTGTGGAACTTGATGCCTGGCCAGGAGCCACTTTTCTGGGTTTATCTAGACTCTGAAACACACCAGTGTGCTCTAACCATGATATTCATAGGCCTGGGCTACAAGGGGCCTGATTGTGATGTTCGTAACACCACGAACATCAGTGTGTTAGTGAACTGCATTTGGAATTCCTCTTGCACAGTTGAGTTTTCTACTTGAGTGTGCAGAAATCAAGCAAGGAAGTAGAGTTCTTTATTTTTGAGAAATGGTCTGATGTAGCGTTCTCTACATAGCCAAGGGTCCTGGCTAGTTGTATGCCAACTTGATACAAGCTGAAGTTACCTGAAGGGAGGGAACATTAATGGAGAAAATGCCTGCATAAGATCCAGCTGTAAGGCATTTTTTAAATTAGTGATCAATGGGGGAGGGCCCAGCCCATTATGGGTGTGGCCATTCCTGGGCTGGTGGTTCTGGGTTTTAAAAGAAAGCAGGCTGAGCAAGTCATGGGAAACAAGCCAGTAAGCAGCATCCCTCCATGGCCTCTGCATCAGCTTCTGCCTCCAGGTTCCTGCCCTGTGTGAGATTCCCCTCCAACCTGTTTTTTGGGCATGGTATTTCATCACAGCAGTAGAAACCCTAAGGCACCAATGACGGCTTTGAATTCCTGAATCCCTCATTACCTCCCAAGAGCGAGGATTACAGCTGTGTGCCACCGCAGCTGGCATTGCTAGGTCTCAGACAGTGAGGACAGGCCTAGTAGCTCTCCAGTGCCAAAGGCACAAATGCAAACCCTTGAGCTGAAACTAAAGGGGTTCTGTTGCTGAACTCTGAACCTCTCTAAGACATGCTATGCTCCCAAATGGCTGGTGTGCCCTTTGTCCATCCTTGCTGCCTTGATCTAAGCCAGCAGTTCTCAGCTTTCCTCATGCTGCAACCCTTTGAGACATTTCCTCATGGTGTGGTGACCCCCAACAATAAATTTATTTCCATTGCTACTTCATAACTATAATTTTGCTGCTGCTATGAATCATAATGTAAATATCTGCTAAGCAGGATGACCTTAGGTGACCCTGTGAAAGGGTCGTTTGACCTCCAAAGGGGTCATAACCCACACTTTGAGAACCACTGCTCTAAGTGTTCTTACGCTGGGCTTCTCTCCCATCTCCTCCACCCCCCAGCTGCACGGCAGATCTTCTGGTCAGAGCCCCCGTTCACACTCCACGGCTACCCACATCTGCTCTGACTCACCCCCTGAGTCAGCCTCACCTTTAGGGAGTGCACGAATCTTTCCCTCCCTTCCCAGTACAGGGTAGATGTGGGAGGGGCCTAGGCAGGAGGGCCCCTGGTAGATGCTCTTACCTGCCTGAGGACACCTTGCAGCTCCTTGCTGGCCCACATGTCAGACAGGAGTAGCCGGGCAGCCTCTGCAGCCTTGGGTGAGGCACTGTGCAGGTGGAAAGTGGGTTTGTGAGGTGAGAATACCTATGACATAGGAACACCCCTTCCCTTGCCAGCTCCCTCTTTAGGGTCCAGAGATGTGGGAGATACTCTGAGTGCATGAAAGAAGAACCCTAATGGGGGTAGTGAGCTTGAGCTCATGCCCCGGCCCATTTGGAGGCACCCTAGAGGTTAGTTCCCTAGCCCTGAATGAACAGAGCCCTAGGAAGCAGAAAAAAGTTCTCATAAAATTGGTCCTACTCTTCTATGTCTCCTGCTGAACCCTGGACAGCCCAGCGTCCCACACGTCCCCCAGCTAAGAAGTATGCTGCTCTATCCCCTCTATGCATCCCTAGGGCCTGGAATCTGAGCGACATCCCCTCGGCACTCAGCTTCTAGAACTTCTTCCTCATCCCGTCCCCTGCCTCCCTGGGTGCTACAGCGTGGGGAGGGGACGTGCGCCCCCTCTCTGCCCACCTGTTGCGACACAGGTTGAAGACATTATTGATCATGCTGCTGGAGAAGTACTGCTTGGCCAGCTGCGGCTGCGAGGTCATCAGGTTCCTCACGGTGTAGCAAGCCGAGGACAAGATGTCTTCAGAGTTGTTGGTGTTGCCAGTGTGGCTGGTGAGGAGTCTGGTTACCTCCGGAAACACCTGGTTTCCTAGAGAAAAGGGAGTTGAGAAATGGGGTCAGGATTGCCGTGGAATAGTGGAGAGATTCTTTTGGGGGCCTCAGTAGCCATCGTCCTCTTCCAGGCGGCAAGCAAGGTGGCTCCTCAAGGACTTGTAGGACCCAAGGATTTCTGGCGACTCACCCATAAAGTGACAATTCCCTCCTCCCCCCACACCTCTCTTGGGCCAAACTCTCCTCAGAATTCACATACTATGGAACAGTTTGAGAATGACCTTCTAGAAGGCTCTAGAAAACACAGGCCTGTGTGTCCTATGAGGAAGGACGAGGGGACAGGCATCTTACCCATCATTCTGTGCAGCACAGGGTGGCGGGACATGTTGCTTAGCAGAGAGGCCCCGGACCGCACCACATCTGAATTGCCAGATTGCAGGAGGCGGGCGATTTGTGGCAAGCCCTTTTCCTTTAGCCCAATCAACTGGCTCATACCACTGGACATCTACAAGAGAAGACCCAGGGAGGAGCTGGCCTGTGGCCTCTGGGCACCACGGTTAGGAGAGAGGCAGATAACACCAAGCAAAGAAAACCTGAGCATTTTGTCTTTCATCTTAAAGTTGGGAGGAGACAGAATTGCTCCTATGAGTGACTACGGAACAGCGGGCTCCACCTGCCCCTGACTGGTCCCGGTGCCTAGTCAATCTGAAGCTCTGGTGGGTAGGCAGGGAGGTGTCATTTCTCTCACTCGTGGTGACCCAGGATTGGTGTCCAGACTGGCAGTGTCCCATCCTTGCTCACTGTCTCACTCCTCTGTCTCAGACACCTCGTTCTTTCGTGTATCTGTGTGCACGAGACCACGCTGCCAAGGGCACGTGACAGTTACGGAAAGCCCACTTCCTTTCAAACTCCCCAACCTCTACAGAGTCCAATCCACACTAACTGAGGGCTTGCCCAACACCAAGCTGGCTCAGAAGGGGTCTGGGTCACCATGGAGATAGAACTGGGATCCCTTGCAAGTAAGCCAGCTTATCTGGGTTGCAAACCAACATCCTGGTGTGAACCTAATCCAGACCAGTTTGGTGTCCTTGAGAAGCCCAGCTTCCTCCTCTAAGAACCAGAGAAGTTATCTTGACCCTCAGGATACCCATGTCTACTGTTCCCCAAGTCTCTTTTGTCCCAAGTGCATCTGGAGAACGAAAGCTGGCCATCCACCAATATCCTATGGCTTTACCCTATGCCATCATGACCTTAAGCCCCAAAGCTGATTCTGTCACAGCTTTCTCCAAATCTGCCCATGTCTCAAACTCTGTCTGCCAGTTCATCAGACAGGGATTTCTCTTGCTAAACACACTCCTCATCCCTGTCTCCCACTGTATACGGAGCCCAAGTAGTCAGCACCACAGGACAAGAGATTAGAGTGTGGGCATTACCCAGGAGTTCTCGGAGGGCAGAGGTGTGTCTGCCCCATCACTGCTCTGGTAACCAGCCCAAGGCCCAACATGCTCACATCTGCAGCTCGAAGCTTACATGGAGCCAGATGTGTTTGAGAGACTCAGGCAGGGAAAGGACAGACTGGTGGAAAGAACAGGGAATAATAGGAGAGTGAGCGTCCTCACCAGCCCCTTGCTGGCTGTCAGGTTCTGCAGGGCCCCAGCACAGGCCTCCAGGGTTGCATCCTTCTTGCTCTTGCCCATGAGGTTCAGGTAGGTGCGGATGGCATCTGAGTGGTACAGCCAGCTGCTGCCCTTGGGGTTGCTCTCCTCCTCGGGAAGGGGGCAGTCGTAGTTATTGTTCTGAAGACGGACAACAGGTTAGTGAGGGGGGTCTGGTGAGGTAACGCACCCCAGCAGTGTGCCTCTCCCCCAGTTTCAGGTTGTGGGTTCTGTGGAGAAGGATGAGAGAAGACTGCTCCCTGCACCCTTTCTTCTGAGTATTCCAGAACCCCCCACAAAATGAGGGGTTCTCTAGATGGTCTCCGGGCAGCATCACAGGAAGGGTGCTCCAGGGTAGCTGCATCCCTGAGCCTCCACATAGGTTTGGCAACAAGATGCTGAGAATTTTAGTTACTTTGGGATCTCCAGGCTGGTCTGGAGCCCAGCTTCTATGTCCTGACTGTCGTGTACAGCATCTTTCTCAAGAGATTTAGGAGGTAGTGGGAACCCTTGCCTAAGATGGAAAGAGTTTCATTGTTTCCTAAGTGCTCGGCAGTCAGAGGAAGACAAGGATGATTTCCGCATTATATAAGAAGAGGAATGGAGGCCTGCAGAATGGGGGAGGTAGACCTGGTAGGTGCTGGGGGATGGGCCCTGGCTCTGCCGTGGTCACGGCTCACCATCATCTTGTCTCCCCTGTTGCTGAAGCAGCCAGTGGAGGACTTCTCAGTGTAGGTGTTGCGAGCGTTATACTCCAGTTGGCGGTAGCGGGTGGGCACCTCGGCGTCCAGGCGGTAGGAGAGGTTATGCAGGATACACATGCAGTTCTCCACGGACTAGGGGCAAGCAGAGAGCGCCTGAGTCCTGTCCAGTCCTCACAGACTGCTGGGGCTGCCACCCACCCCGAGTATTCATAGTGAGCTACTACACTGTCAGTCTGGAAGGATCTCTCACGCACACCCTGGGGACTAGCCACAGTTCCTCCTCTGCCACTTCCTGGCTGTTTGAACATGTATAATAACTCATCTTTGTGGGCCTCAGTGTCCTCAGATGTAAAATGGGCTGTTCTCACTTCACTTGTCCAGTGGGGGAGATTATGCACTAGGTCCCCAGTTCTACACCCACAGTACGAGCCAAACACAAATTGAAATGATTTTGAAAAATCTAAGGGATTCCTGAGTACAGATTTCTTTCTTGGCACTTTAATAACTATTCATTTGACATTTCTATTGTATTAGGGTTCATAAACAACATATGGATGATTTAAAGTGTACAAAGGAGTGAGTACAGGTTATATTTAGATACCGGTCATTTTATAGGAGGGCTTGAGACTGTGGCTTTGGGTGTGAATGGGGATTTGGAACAATGTCTGTGGTTACTGGGGGATGATGGCACAGGAGGAATACCAACCATGGGGCCTTGCACATAGTACACACAATAGGCAGGGTGACCATTTCCATGGCTATAGACCACGTGTGGGCCAGAAGGCAAAAAGCATCTCTGTCCTAAAGCAACTTCCTTCAAAAGCAGTCCTAACTCCTAGTTTTAAAAGCATCTAGTCACTGCTGTCTTTTCTGTCCCTTCTTCCCATGATCACTCCTCAGTCCCCAACATCAAACGTCTTGGTGCATAGCAACAATGAGACCTGGGACTCGGGATTTCACAGAGGTCCCAGGGCACAGGTGCATTGTCTTTTGGTGAGCCTCCAGGCTAAAGGCTTGGGGTGGCAGATTTACCCTCTAGACAGGGCCTGGTCCCTGTTGGGGTCAGGGTGAATCTGACTCCTATTGGTTAGGGTTGTCCAGGCATAGGAGATATACACAGATCAGGAGAAAGGGGGATAAAGGCACTTTGTCCTGCAGCTTAATGATAAGGTTGTTCTCAGAGGCCTTGTTATCCCTTCCAGTGAAGGAAGCAAGAGATAGCACTTTCCCTTCATTGACCTTCCTGGTGACCTGGGTGTGGGGACTAGACCTCACTAGACCTCAGTGCCCTGAGTCACCGTCTGGCTATTGTGGGGGTACCTTAGCCCCCAGTTTATCTTTTTTCCAAGACCCGTCCTTTCAATTTGTGCATGATGCTGCACCTAGCAATCTAGAGAAGGCGGGGGGGGGGGGGGAGCTTGCCGGTGGCTTTTCTGGAGTTACTGGAAGGAGTTATATCTTGGAAAGGACACGGGGTCCCTGGGAACACGTTCATGGGCTCAGCACCACATTAACAGTGTGGCCCTCGAGCTCAAGCAGGGAACACCTGCAAGCTCTAGATGTCCCCTCCACTGTTCCTGCCTCTGCTCCTGTCATTGAGATAGATTACAGAAGCATCGAGAAAGTATAACCCTGACTTGTGGGTTCTCGAAGAGAGAAATGTCAGGACCAGGAGAGTTCCTAACAAACGTGTGTTCCTGGGCTTTGCAGTTATGGGCAGAGACGTTGGGGCTGGAGATAGGGGTGTCACCAGGGGCCTTCACCCTCACCTTGTCATCGCAGCGGCTGGCAGCCACACAGTTCTGGACATAAGCCATGAGGGAGTCAATGAGCCCAGAGTAGTTCCGCATGGTCTGGCGGCCAGCATCAGCAGAGCTCAGGTTCCTGCAGGAGAGGACCAGGGAGGAGGAGGAGGATGCAGGTGGGGTGATGAGGAGGCAGGGCAGGAGGGGCAAAGTGTCGCGGGGACACATGGGGAAGAACAGCAGAAAGCACAGGGCAGAATTTGGAAGTTGTGGCAGGAAGAAGAAGGAAGAAGAGGAAGGGAGAGAGAACAATGAGGGAAAAGGAGAGAAGGAAAAGAAATGATTTAACCTTATCTGCCTGCTCCTGGCTGACAGGAGTCTCCTCTGAACTCAGTTTTCATTGTTTCTGTCATTTAGTCCCTTGACACAAGGCTCTCCTTGGCTCCACTACATGTGACAGCCCTGCTCCTACCCTCTAGTGGTCCCTTGAGGGACACGCATTGGAAATGCCAGCATGCTGTCTTCGCCTGAGTAAGGCAAAGCTGAGGGGGTGCTGGACCAGAGCTAGCAGGAATGCAGGTGGGAGGCTAACCTGGATTCAGATGTAACTACCTCTTCCAAAGGTTGTACTCATTCCCAAGCCCTGTGGGTCCTCCTGCCGTAGGCAGTGTGTATGGTGCATGTATAGGATGCGTGTGTGTATATGGTCACACCCAGGAGCCATGTAGCCCCATAAAGTCCTTAATTGCACTGGCTTTTCATCTACCCAGCCTCTTTGCCCTTTGGAAGCTGTGGCTGGAGGCTGGCTGGCTGTGAGAAGAGCAAGCTGAGACACAGAAGCATATATCAACTTCACCCCTATTCTGGCAGTTCTTTGTGAGGTTCTGAGGGACAAGCTCCATTATAGCAAAATGAGATCCTAGAAGAGAGCTCACTCCATGCCAGCACCCACCGGCAGCACATCCAGATCCCACCAGGGTTTTGCCACACCCTGACGTGGAACTCAAACAATTTTGGGCAAGGCAGTACCATCTCCATGCCAATGAACATGGCAAATGGTTTCAGCACTTGGGCGGGAGGTGACTCATAAAGCAGCCAGTCAGCAGACTTTTGCATAAAAGAATGCTCTTCAAGATAGTACAAGAAATACTCCTTCCCTCTTGAGGGTGAAAGCGATGATTTAGTTGAATGAGTTTGGATATTCAAATGCAGGTGTGTTTTTTTTTTTCTCTTAGATTTCCAATGATGTCCTCTAGATCCTCCCAGGAGGTTGCATGGCATAGCCAGACTCAGAGACATTGGAAATACCTGGCCCTTTGTCCTGGAGCCAGGCCACAAAAAGCAGAGCCAAGATGAGCGCTATGTTCTCTACTCTGGCTGAATGTTGGCTGAAGAGGAGGCTGACTGTGGAAGGACCTGAGCAGAAAGACCTATGTGCCATCTTCTCGTACCTCAAGCAGCCCGTGGCGTTGAAGAAGACCTCGGGGTCCACCACGTCCCGGGACATGTTGCTGTTGCCATCACACCAGCCGGAGAACGGAATGATGACTCGGTCAGTCAGAACAGGGAGGGCATCGGCCACCAGCTCCTCCTTCAGCTCGTCAGTGGAGGACAGATTCCAGAGTAGCCCTGGACACAGACATGATAAGCACAACACGGCAGGCTCTGAAAACCTAAGGACTAAAGGTGCCGCTCCTAGCGTGGGCTCTAGCCAATGGCTCCCTTCCAGGTAAGCTTGGCCCATCAGACCATTGTCTAACTCTCTCTGATCCTAGTCTCAGTGTCCCTGTAAACTGCAGGTTCTTTGGGGTCTGAGACTATCTCAGAGCAGGAAAGATTCCTAAAATACAGCTGGTTGATCAGTGGTTTTAACCATATATTTTGGAAATTAGAACCGTTTTACAGTCTTTGTTTTCCACCGGAAACAATATTGGAAAGTATCAGCCATGGAGGTCGGTCTAGAAGCTCTTATCAATTGTTAATCTGAACGTTCTCTTCTTTCCAGTCCAACTCAAGGTCTTCACGGTGACTTACTTTGCTGTCCGGTTCCCCACCTTGAATGTTCCATGTGTGTCGTGAATTCAGGGTAAGGGCGTCCTTCCAGATCCACTAATCCCTGCCCTACGTTGTGCTCCCCTCCCATTCCACACGTTTCTGTACCTACTACATACGGTTCCTTCCCTTGCACCCCAGTCTCGAAGATGCCCTCTGAAGAGTGTACACCATCTCAGGCCATCATCTGGATGCCACTGTCCCAGCTGGAGCCAGTGCCACTGCGCTCCTGAACTGTAGCTCAGTGAAACCTACACAGCTGTGTCTTGGCCTAGCCTAAAAGGGACTGGTCAGAGACACACCCTGCCACCTTGCCCAGTCCCCTCCCTGGCTTCCTACTGCAACAGCCTACCGGTCAGCTGTTTCTGGATCTCCGTGCTCCCGCTTCTCCTCAGGAGGTTGACAGCCTCACGGATCCCATTCTGCCTCCTGGTCTCCAGCTTGTTGCTGGCGCTCCTGAACACCAGGTTGCGCAGGGCCCCAGCAGCAGCCTGCTGGACGTTCTGATTAGGGCTGCGGAGGAGGTCCACCAACTTGCAGATGCCCTGCAGCTGAAAGACCTGCCAAGAAAGTTGCCCACATTGCTTGTTCAAAGGAAAGGAGGCTGAGACAGTTATTCTCTACTCAAAGTAGCTGTTTCTCAGGACAAAAAAAAAAAATCAGTTCAGAAGCACACAAGTCCACCACAACACATAAGCAATAATGAGTTAACGGCAACTGACCCAGACAAGAAAGCCAAAGACCTGAATTCAGAGCTAGCTCCTCATATCCTACTCAGGGCCCTTAGCAAGTCTCTCTTCTGTCTGGAGCCTTGTGTTCCTCTTCTGGAGCATGCTAAAGACCAGCTGAGAAGCTGTACCACCATACTTCAGAATCCCAAGGCAAAACACGCTGAAGGTGCCACAGAAGGTCTCCTATGGTAGAAATTTTGATGAAAGCTACCCCGGGCTTCTAGGAAGCCATTTGTGGCACATAGAGCTGTATACTGTGTGGTGTAGGTGTTTTCCTAGCCGGCCAACAGCCAAGCGTGGGAGGCGTTAATGAACCCTGTTTTCACTGAGGGAAAGAGCTGGGAGGGTGAGAGTCTTATACTTGAGTGGAATCTGAGGAAGGGGATTTCTGTGAAACTCATGGCTATCAAATTGAGCCGCGGGCCCCTTCCAACGCTGTTGTAGAACACAAGCCTCCTAGTGTAGCAGCCATTATTATCTTCATCACAGCAGCTGCAATGGCTTCTCAGAGATCCTCAAGATGGTGTTTGCTGAGAGCTTAGTGCATGCCGCAAATCCTGATGATCTGAGCTCAATCTCCAAGACTCACCCAGTAGGAGAGAACTGAATCCTGAGTTGTCCTCTGATCACTGCATAGACACACATGCATGGGCATGCACACACACATGCACACACAAACACACACACACACACACTGAGTAAAAAGATTGGGCCTGTTACCAGAAGGAGAGACAGAATCATTAGATCTTCACCTGAGATTCAAGCCACTCCCCCCATGTTTCCCTCCCAGAGATATGTAATCCTACCCAAGCTGTATAAGGCCCCGTGGTCTCAGGTCTTGGAGGTGATAGAGTATATAGAATATGAAAGATTAGATGAAAAGTGGGGGGGGCACTCCATCTATACATCTGTGCTGGGATGAGACTTGCTTTGGGGTCACTTATGTGCTTGCAAGTGTCTCATTACCCATGCTTTCTAAATAAACCCAATAAATTCATTGACATGCCAGGTTGTGTCTTGGTGGGATCACTACTCTGGTCTGTTGTTAGTACATTGTCTCGGGTGAATAGCCGTTTATCTATATCTCCCTAGGAAAGGTTCACATAGCAATGACCAGTGGGGGAAAGGCAACTGTCTAAGGTCCACTCAGGAGGGCATTACTCTGCAGGTTAGGATGCAGCTCTGATCTTGCAGGGAATACTCCTCCTGGTACCTGGGTGCCTTGGAAAGGAACCAACTACAACTGCTTCCACTCATCTGCAAATGCGGGGCCAGGCTGACACACTCAGGACCTGGCACTGAGAAAGGTGTATGGCCTGTTACCTGTTGCTTGGCAGATTCATCCTGGAAACAGGTATGCTGGATGTAATAGGCCCCGATGGCCTGGTACTTCTCATCCTGGGAGCTCAGGTACTGCACAGCCTTGGGGATGGTCAGCCCACTGCACTCAATGTCTTCACTGCAGATTCTGGAAGAATAGGGTACAGTACATTACAGGGTGAGCTTGGAGCCCTGGTGAGCAGGCTCTATATTCTTTCTTATACACCGAACAGCCACAGCCTCTTCTGCCTCCAGGGAAACAGAACAAGGCAGCCAGGTTCTCTTGGAGAATGCCTTGTCTTGTGAACAGCTCCCCATGAGGAAGGAAAAAGGGTGTGCTCTGGGTTCCCCTCTCCTGGGATGAGGCCCCTGCCATGGGTTAGGGCCGAAGCAGGACAGTCACCCTTACACTGTGCACAACTTAGCCCTGTTTCCTGAGATGAAGCTTTCCGTCTATCCTGCCAATGTGTTTGTGCCTCATCCCGGGAAAAGTGAATGGCTTGTCTTTTCCCTCTCTCCTTCTGCCCCGTCCTCCCAAGTCCAGTTAGCTTCTTACACACACACACACACACACACACACACACACACACACACACACACAAATTCTCACTGTCACCATACTCGTCTGGGTTAGGGTCACTTTTGTGGGGCTAGTGTCTAGAGGCAGCTCTACCCAGCACATTACAGCCTTTAGGTAGGTCCTGAAATCCTGTCCACTAGATCGTTCTCCAGCTCAGAAGCTACCCGCAGCTTCTCCATACAGCAGGTTCAATTTCAAACTGCTTAGACACTGAAGGGCATGCCTTAGGTTGAACCACAGCAAATGGCTATTAGTTCACTGCTTCAACTGAATGTTCGGCTCCACTGCAACCTCTGGCACGTTCCCTCGCCTCTGGCAAGAGTCCGTTGGTTGTAGCAAGACATCCGCGGTTCCAGGCACGAAGGCCTAGCCTAGGCCTGCTGGAGTCTCCCTTCCAAGAAGCCTTTCCAAGGAAGGGAATCCTCGTCTGGAAACTCCTTCAGCTCCCATGGTATGCTCAATAAATAACCACAGTTATAGCTAAGGCAATCCAACTTCATTTCTGAAATCCATCATCCGAAGGGCAGAGTTCTCTGGCTCCGGGCTAGTTGCATGCCTGCCCTCTATTGAGAAGGCCTCACCTCACCTTTATCAGTCAACTGTCCCTTCTACATGGCTTGTCACTCAACCCTAGACCTCCAGTTGGGGTCAGAGGGTGCCATGATTAGTCTCCAGAAGAGAAGCATTTCTGAGTCCTCTCACAAGTTATCCTAAACACCCCTTACATATTTCAAACAGGAGAGGTCCACTTAAAACGGATCCCAATTTCGTTCAGAACAGTGTGGGACTGGGAGGAAAGAGTACAGCACACAGAACCAGCTGTGTGGCCTTGGACAAGCACCGCCATCTGCCAGCTTTGTTTAGTCTTCCTTACGGTCTGCCTGGAAAGGGGCTGGACAGGAAGAAGGCAAAGCTCCTTGGTCACTGTGTCACCATGGCTGTGCCTCCTGGGATCACCGCAGAGCTGGCATGGAGTGGGTGCTCCCTAAATATTTGCCAAATGAGTAGCTGTCATGTGGAGATAAGGGACAGTGGGAAGGTTCATGAAGGTTCATGGTGTTCTGAGCCTTAAAGGCAGGTTCAGTGTTACTGTAGCCCCAAAGTGCCCTCTGCTTATGTCTCTCTATAGGACAGCTCATCAGGTCTGCTTCAGAGAGAGAGAAAGAGAGAGAGAGAGAGAGAGAGAGAGAGAGAGAGAGAGAGAGAGAAAGAGAGAGTCTATTACCTAGAAGGCTTGTTGGAACACATATTGCAAGGATCTCCAGGTGTCTATAGGATTGTGTGGGACTGTGTGAGGCCCAGGAATGAATATCTATTTTTTAGATATCATTTTATATGTAAATGAGTATTCTGCCTGCATGAATGCCTAACTGGAGGGCAGAAAAGGGTGTTGTATCTTCTGGAACTGGAGTCACAGATGGTTGGAAGCCACATGTGGGTGCTGGGAATCAAACTTGAGTCCTCTGGAAGAGCAGCCATTGCTCTTGACTACTAAGCCATCTCTCTCGCCCTGAGAACAAGTATTTCTAACACATTCCCTGGTGCTGCTGATGTTGCTGATCACAGAGACATGGTGTGGCAGCCCTCGGCCTATTAATCTCTCCTTTGCCCTTCCTCTGTTCACAGCTGGGGATCCTTAAGACCTGTGTATGCAATGGCTGGGTTCTGGGGCCTTTTCACTCTGAGGACTCCCTAGTCAGTGGCCCATGAGACCAGAGATTTTTCAAGGTGGCAACGCTGAAATCAGAACACAGGCTGAGCCTCTCTCTACTTCCCTGGGAGCCCCTGGCAGAGTAGGCCGGCTAGCAGACTGCCTCCCGTCCGCCCCACCACAGCCCCGCAGCACTCACTTGGAACTGGCCCTTGAGTGGCCAAAGGACAGGTCCTTGTTGCAGGAGATAGGCGGCACATACACCGGGTCCTGCTTGGAGGTGCAGGAGGGCGGTCGCACGGGACACTTCTTGACGGCCTTCTGACCGCTGCAGGTGCTGTAAAAGCTGTAGCGGTTCTGGGTGGTCTTGTGGCCCTTGCTGCCCAGCGTGCCCTTGCGCAGAGTGCCCCTCGGGTCACAGTAGAGGTCGGGCTCACTGCGGCTCGCCTTGATTTTTTGCATGAAGCAGATGTCGCTGCCAGCGCCTGTGGTGGCACAGCTTCCGCGGGGATAGTTCCGGCTCCAGTTCTCCATCTGGCTGTAGGAGCTGAAGCGCCTGTTGTCAGACTCCCGCTTGAGGGTCCCATTGTAGATCTAGACAGGAAAGGCATGAGCTGTTTAGCCAAGCGCTTAACTGGGATCCTGGATCTAGCTGTCCACAAAGGCGGCCTTTCCCACCCTAGCTACAGTGTTCAGAGGATCTGGAAAGACTTGCAGAGAAAGGAACCGTGAGCATTGTCTACTTGCTATATTATTTTTTCCAAGGGCAGGTTGTGATCCACTGTGGAATATGAGATCATATTAACAGCTATGTCCACCCTTATTAAAAGTATTGAATAAAGAAATGTATTGGAAAATACACATACAATACAGAGTGTAACACATAACCTGTTTTGTGCTACAGCGAGTTGATTCTGAATTGCAATGAAAAATGTACTTTTTTTTAAAATTAAAAGATGGTTTATTTTGTGTACATGAGTATTCTGTCTGCATGTATGTCTACACATCACGTGAATGTCTAGTGCCCGAGAAGGTACCAGAAGAGGGTGTCAAATTCCTTGGAACTCTGGTTACAGATGGTTGAGAGCCACCATTATGGTTGCTGAGGATTGAACCCAGGTCCTCTAGAAGAGAAATCAGTGCTTTAACTGCTGACCCATCTCTCCACAGCCCAAATTTACTTCTTATTGTGGAAATGTCTGAAAGGAAGACGTTCTATACCACTGATCCGGCCACATGCGCAAAGTCTAGGATGGGGTCTGCAAGCCAGGGAGGAGGGGGTCTTTCAGCCTTTGTGTCAAGTCCTTGCCTTGTCCCTTCGGGTCATCCCCAACAGCAGTGGCTTCTGACACAGCCAGCCCTGCCTCAGCACTTGCGCACGTTTGGAAATGTCAGTTGCTAGGAAGCCGCTGTGCAACAGAGACAGCGCAGGGCCACAGGGAGACCTCTGGGCTGTGCTGTCAGGCAGGCTGGGAAAGAAGCGGCACAGAAGCTCATCCAAAGGGGAACATGCCCCACGAACAAGGTGTTCCTAAGGGTCTTGTAAGCCAAGTGGGAATTTACTTCTCTGGGAGGAGCCTGCAAAGCCAGAGACTTGGTGAGAATCAGCTGTGGTACTGAACTCTCCACAGAAGACTTTCCCAGACCCAAAAGCTGGCAGGTTTGGCCTGCTGGAACTTGTTCTCAGACTACAGGATCAACACTGAGCCTGATAAAACCTCTCTATACAGGTGCTGACTTGGGACTCACCTTTGCTGGGATGAGCGAGGGCCAAGTCCAGCCCAGAGACTGCCCACCCAACCCTAAGCACAGGATGGGGTAGAGAAAGTGAGAGAAGAGAAACGGTTGCAAACTGTGTGTCTGCAGGGGAGGCTGCAATTCCCCTCTACACTGGATCTGGCCACACAGACTAAGGAGGGACCCGTTGTTCCAGTTCCCTGAAAGAATTGGTGTAAAGCTACCAGCTGGAAGTGGTATCCAAAACCCAGAAGCCACAGGCTGTTAACCTTGGTGGTGGCAGGTACTCTCCCTTCGCCATGCCAAGCAGGCACAATTTTCTGTCCCCAACTGGGTCAAACCACCCTGCCACACACACAGTGAGCTGCTCTGTGGGAGTCGGGAGAGACACAAACAGCAGCAAGGCAGAGGTGAGAGGAGCTAGGAGTTTCCTTGCCGTTTGGAGGTCAACCAGACAATTATACACAAAATGTAAAGAGGCCTCCACTGCCTCGGGCAGTGGCCACATTCTGCCTTCTCCCAGGGAAGGAGGGCAGCAGATGGCGCTTTGGAGGGAAAGCAGAAACAAACACTCCTCAGGGCAGGCTGGGCTTAAGAGGGAAAGGCAACAAGGAGCTCCCTTGTTCTCAGTAAGTGACACACCTGGACGTCATCTCAGACACCTGATGAGGAGTGCAGATGCTCTCCTGGCCCAAACCCAGCAAAGACGCCATCCTGCTGATTAAGCCTGAGAGACGTTCTGGTCTCAGCAACCTATGCTGGGAAAGGGAGCAGCAGGCGGCCCTGGCAAGTCTCGGCTAGGTGGGCTGCCCCCAGGGAATGGGCGAGGACGCCCCTGTGAGATTGCAGTACCAGCTCCCCCCCCCCCCCCATCAGCCACACCCCAGTAATGTCATCCATTCCTGGGAGCCCCACCCCAGCTTTTAAAGTCACAGTGCTGGATTGTAAGAGTGTGACAGCTAGAGGTGGCTCTCCCATCCCCGTTGCCTTTTGTGGTCATGTTGACAAGCAGGAGATAAACTCTCCAAGGCTCAGATAACGCATTCTGCCTCTAGGCCTCCTGCACAGGTAGCCCATGCCCCTGCTGTAGCTGCAGCCTGCTAAGGCTGCATTGGCAGTGGCATCTTGGGACTCCAAAGAGTTTCCTCAAGCGTGAGCAGGTTAGGACTCAGGAGTGCAGGCTGGAGTCAGACGGTCTTGGCTATGTCAGCTGCCTCCTTGAGTTAACCTGAGGCAAGAGACTTAAACCCAGTGTGTCTGAGTTTCTCCAGCTGTATGTCCGAGATCCTAATTGTTCATGACATAGAGGGTCATTAGAATCATTAGGCTAATGTTCGTGAATTAGAACTGGACATGACATGAGTACTTGGACCGTCTGCGTCCATCTGACTCTCACGCTGGCTGCGTTTAGGAGCTGGCTGAGAGCACACACATGCACATGTACTCCCGTGACCCTCCTGTCTCTCCCTCCCTAATACTGAGATTACATGCCTATGCCATCAGGTCAATCTTTCTACATGGGTACTGGGGATCCGAACGCAGGTCCTCATACTGGCATGGCAATTAATCTACCGACTGAGCTAATTCCCTGTCCTTTCTGCTTCTCTCCCCATCTGAATGTTTTAAGACAAAGCCTCTTACTGAAGCCAGAGCTCATGGATTCAGTTAGTCTAGCAGGCCAATGGACTTCAGTGATGCGTTCCCCCGGCACCGGGGTTACAGATGTGAATGGCCATGCCTGCCCTTGAAGTGGGTGCTCAGATCCAGACTCAGGTTCTCATGCTTGGGTAGCAGCTGCTTTACCAGTTAAGCCATCCTTGCCCCCTGACTGAGGGTTTTCAATAACTCACACCATTTCTAAAGAAGTTTCTAGATAATCGATAAGGGGGTGACACCCAGGATTCAGAGCCCCATGCCGTGCTCATTCCATAGCACAGAACAGGTCTAAGTATGTTTGGGAAAAATAGAGGTACCCATTCTGCCCAGATGGTACATGTTGAATGAAGCAGGCTTTCTGCCAAGATGGCGCTGTCCTTCTATGGGTGCTCCTGGCATCTGTGGCAGGACACTTCTCCATTGTCTGGATGCCCAGGCACCACAGGATGTTTGTGGGAGCCCCGCCCCCAGGCTCCAAACGATAGCAGTCCCACTCCCACCCCCACTTCCAAACACCGGCTTCCAAGTCTTAAGCAAACAGCTGCAGCCAGAAGAGAATTCATGGGCACCTGTGCCCACAGCAGGTGGGAGAGCTTTGCTGCCAATGCCTCTCCAGCCACACCCCCACACTCAGATAGGAATCTGCTGGCAGCCTCCTCTTCTTTGAATACAAAGGGGGTACACACACACACACACACACACACACACACATACACATACACACACACACGATGTCAGAGGACTATCCCATACCTTCCTGAGAAACTCAAACCTCAGGTGGGACAGACTGTGAGACCATGTAGTCAACAGGCCGGGTTAGGCCTGAGTTTGGCTGCACTGAAGCCCAGAGTGTGGACACAGAGACATGCTTCTCCAGTTGGAACACTAGCTGGGCTCTTGGGACTCAACTGTTGGGACCACATTCCAAGGCTAGCCAGACAAGACTGTGTTGGCCAGAAGCCTCCCTAGCCAGCCTGTGTTCTGCCCTCTCTTCTCCTAACTTAAGTCTAGTTACTCACCTGTTAAAAAAGAGTGAAGCCAAGCTGCGTGCCTGGAGGCATTTGTTTCCTAACATGGTTGTTCCTGCATCTGAGGAAGAAGTGTCTTCATTACGCTAATGAAGCACCCTGTTGTTTAGTGGCCCTGCCTCTGAGACCATCAGGCCCCTAAATGCCTTCTTCACTTCTCCCCACCTTGTCCTGAAGAAGTGTGGTATTTCAACCCACACTCATGGTCCCTGGATCCCTGTTCTTCTTTAAGTTAAGTAGGGAGTTCTCAGGAGCCCACCTCTCACTGTGTAGGCAAGGAACGTGAATTCTAGAGTGGGCTGAATCAAAGTAAACCGATGCTTTTCTTAGGCTCCGAAGGCCTGAAAGACCCCTATGTGTCAGTGTTATTGGGGGGGACAGTAAGCAACCATTCTGGAGGAAGTGATGCCCACCTGAGCATGCTGTCTGCCTCCTTCTTCGGCATTGCCACCTCTTAGACCGTGGTCCTGTATGTCCTTGGTATATTCCTGGGCACCCCCTAACTTATGAATTGTAATGTAAGTATCTGATCGACAGGATACCTGACACGCAACCTCCAAAGGGGTCGTGGCACACGGGTTGAGAACTATCACTCTGATCCTCACCTTTTTACCCCGTCACTTCCTCCTTCCTCAGACAAAGCTTCCCCTAGCCCCGGCCTTGCTGGAGAACTCACTGTGTCTCTGCCGTTTACCAGGTAAGCACATGAACTTGCCTCTGGCCCACCTACCCAGCGGCCTCTTCCCTAGCACGCGCTCTCACATGGTCCCACAACAACAGATACACACTAGCCCCTGCTTCCCCTGCTTTCTGCCCACCTACTTTCGAATTCCATATTTTCCCCAAGCTTCTGCTCTAACCTGTCATCTCCACGAGGGCTGCTCTGCCCCTTCTCGGTCCTGGATGCTCACAGCTGGAATCCTTTAGCTACACACCTCGCTTCCCCAGGCCTTGTCTGTTCTCTTGTTACTACAGTAGGGTTGTTATGCCAAGCTTTTCAAGCCAAAGAGCTCTGCCTAGCAGGGGGCTGGGTTCCCAGCAAGCACTTGTGGAAAAGAAAGCTACTTCTGCTCTGGAGAATTTCTTCTGGGAACGGACACTCTGGTTGCTGATGAGCACTACTGGGTTCTCCATGACCTCCTTGCCGGGGGTCTACCACAGACAAAGTGAGCT